AGTATATTTCTGGTATAGGAGCACCCCTGAGTCAGAGCGTCACGTGCCCGCCCGGCGGCTCGGCCGTGCGGTGGTGGGGGTCGCACGCCGGAAGCCGGAATCGGCCCGAAATGTGCAAATCCTTGCGACCACTCTATAAATAAAGGTATTACCTGATGTATACATATACATATAAATAATAACAAACAAATAAACCGCTTAAATAATTTCACTATTGATTTTATTAACTCTACGCGCGTGAAATGTCTTTGTTTTAGAAATCTGTAATTTTACAAAGCGATTTTCTTATCAATCGAATGCTGCACAAATTATTTCGTAATTAAAGAAGAATCTTTATCCTTATCTAAAAGATATACAGATTATTATCAACCTTTTTTTAATTATACATCTTCAAAGAGCAATAAAAATTGAAGTTGAGATGTAAAATATATTTAATTACATTTTTAAAAACTATGCGAGTAAAGTTAATAATAATAATAATATATAATTGTAGGAAAAAAGAAAGAATTATAAATTATTGTATTTTAATATATCGTATCGGTTTGTGCGTGAAGAATTAAGACTTGCGGTTACGAAGAAGAATTCCGTAACATAACGGTACCCTTTTAAAGGTCATTCGCCGCGTGAAGACTAGGTTCTCAATTTCTGGTTCGACCATACTCGAAAAGAAACGGAAAGAAATCTTTCTCATTAATCAATCATGTGCATACATTAACACTATCGCGATGTTAAAAAAGCGCTTGAAAATTATTTGCGAACAGATTATTTACGAATTTTTTTTTACGAATAAGAAGCGACTACGTACAAAGGAAAAAAAAATGATAAAAAAGGAGCTTGTAGTGAGTACTGCAAAAAAAAAAAATACCGAGTAATGAAAATTATTCATACAGATAACGACGTTCGATCTATATACTGCGTTTCAAACATGTGACGCATCTGCCACGTGCTGATGCGTTTATAATTACATTTGCATCATACGTGATAAACAAGAAAAATTTATTTTAAATCTTCGGTTGATTGTCGGTCGAGGAATGAAATAGATCGTATATTATTTATTTTAGCGACTTGGAAATGAGGTTATATGCGAAATCACGTGGGTAGCCGGCGCACCATATGTTATAAACATCACTGGATAAAACCGTCTCCGGTAGATAAATTATCCGTATCTGCAATATTATTTCTTGAATAATTCTTGACAAGAGACTCTACGACTTAGTTTTTAAAAGATTTTCACGTTATAATGTTATCATGCTCCGAGTGATATTGTGATTCTAGAGTTTGACGATAGTGTAAAAAGTCTTTCAGACTCATAATTCCTGACAGAAATTTATTTATAACTTTACATAAACTGTATACAATGTGTAAGAGGAAAAGTATTTAAAAGTTAAGACATATGTACATATATAAAATATATTTATAATGTTCACAGTATTTACAAAACTATGAGGAAAATTCTATTTTTAATTCTGATAAAAATTATAGATTATCTATAATCAGCTCATTTATGATACAGAGATAAAAATAATGTAAATTAACGACTATAAACGAATATAAATAAATAAATATAGGGATCGTATGCAAGTATGGGCCGTAAATGCACATGGCGTGCATACTTGTACCATATGTTAACATGAATTAAAATTTTATCCAAGTTAAAATTTATCGATAAAATACATATACATGCAGTTTTTGATAATACAATCACCACTGCAAAAATCATTAAAATTACGTTTTAAGCAGTCACAATAATTATTATTGAAGTAATTAATGCTATTTGTTTTGACAGACATATTATATTTAAAAAAAAAAAAAAAAAAGAATCCTCTATGAAATACAAAATTGATGGCACCATTTTATTGAGATAAAACTTGAGATACAAACAGATAATTTATCCTTGATTATTGACTTATAAATAAATCTCACAACAGTAAATATCAATTTATAATACCTTTTCTATTCCCATGGTGTATATTATCTATAATCGAGAATTGCAAGAATTTTTTAAAATAATAGTGCGACTGTCTTTATACTATACTTTACATACAGTATACTGTAGTTAATCTAGTACTATATATTCAATTTAATGTCATACATTTTTAATGTCTATTATAATACTTAATAGATTATTACCAAATTATTAAGCAAATGAATTTCTACACTAAACATATGTTTTTCTTCAACATTATGAGAAAAGATATGGTTAAGTCTGTTTTGAATGAAGATTAAAATAAGCTGTCAAACATGAGCCACTCGTGGGACAGCAAGTGCATTATAAGCTTACAAATGGAATTACCTACAGGCAAACCGGGAAACTCACCGTGATGACGTCGCCATAATTATGGTCAACTAGTAACTCATCCTTAACGTCCCCTTTGAGAAACGTGTCCTCCAGCAAATCAAACAGATTCATGTCTGACGACATCACTATCTAACATATGAAATTCATACAGTTAGGACACTGTCTTTCTCACCATTTACGCTACTATTAAACAAAGCACTAACAATGAAATAGTTGTCGAACAATTCAGCATTTAACGATACGTGATCATCACCGATTGACGTCAAGTCGTAAACGCGAGGCAGCCCAATCTTGCTTCTTACTTTTACTCTCGCCCCACCCTGTGGCACGTTTTTCGAACGCACACTTTGAACCGTTGAGAAATTTCGCTCAACACCTTCCGCACACCTTTGTCATACCGACATTTTCACATTTTTAACATTTAGAAATGTTGGTACGCGCAAATTGATGGATTCACACCTCACACCTTTCCTACGAAAATACGATGCAGTACCAGACTGCCAACGTGGCATAGAGTCATTGATAAATATATATATACGTATACGTACAATGTACATACATGCATATATACTGACGCGTTTATGCGCCTGTCACAAGTGCCACTACAAAGGTGCCTTTTCATGCTGACTCTCGACGCTCAGTTGAAAGAGAGCTCGCTGCTATTGATGTATTCTTCCAGATCTAAAATGCTGATTGGATGATCTAAAAGAATACCCCAATAACAGCGAGCGCTCACTCAACTGTTGAGTCCGCTGAACAGGGGGTGATCCCGATTGATCACGGCTCGATTGGACACCACCAATCACAGCGACCGGTGCTTAGGAGCTTTGTAGTGTGTGCCCTCCAACAAGCGACACAAATGACACGGTGTGACACAATGGATCATTATATCCTTGTTGTTTGTCAATGTTAAACAAAGATGACATGATCACTGTGTCGCACTGTGTCGCTTGTTGGAAGGCACACAGTCTCAAGCGCTGTGAGTGGCTCACTGAGTGTCCAACTGGGTGCCACCCGTTCGCGTCGCATGCTCCAATATGTTCCAATATGCTCCTACCATAGCTCCTACTCACTCCAACGCGCTTGATAGAGTGAGTAGGAGCTATGGTAGGAGTATGTTGGAACATGTTGGAGCATGCGACACGAACAAACCTTATGTCTTTGCTAGTACTGGACAAAATGAAGTATAAAACGCACTTTGAACATTTCCACATTTATGTAAATACTTGCTAAGGGCCCAGACACAAGCTTTTGCATAACGCGTAATACATAGTGCATAATGGAATCAACCAATCGAAATTCTTCTTTTCCATGGAATGAGAGGAAAGGAAAGCTTCTGATTAGTTGATTCGCTTATGCACTATATATTATGCGCAAAAGCTTGTGTCTGGGCCCTAATCCTTGCAGATAACATAATGATGAATTATCATGAAAAAGAAGGTTTCTTATAGCGTTTTCGATTGGGGTGCACTGGCTGCACTCAGTGTCAAGAGCGTGTTCGATTGGCAGTGTCAATGCGCACTTGGCTAGTGTCATGTGTTCATTTGATCGCACGACACTCGCGTAGTGCGCACTCAGTGCGCACTAAGTGGCACGAGATATTTTGACGGTGCCAGTTCAGTGCACGTTTTATCACAGTTAAGGATATACATAAGGACAAGCAAATCTGCGCAGTTGAATTGAAAACGGGGTCTTGTCCCTACTCTTAATATCTTTTACTGTAGGTTTGTAACATTTTGTTGAACATTGTTTCAAAGTGAACAAAAATGAGTTTCAGCTTTAGCACTGAAAATCTTGGCGTATTCTTTTGAACTTGCACTATTCAGTGCAACCCATGGAACTCGTCCAGTGTTGGTGTGAACTGAGTGCGCACTGGTGCGCACTAACTTTTGCCCAATCGAAAACGCTATTAGTTTACTTTACAATGATGATTACAAAAATTCCATAAACATTCAAAATGTGTACTTTATTTCGTCCAGTACTGTACGAAATATTTGTAAATATTATCATTCCTTTTTGGGAATAAATTTTGTAACAACTCACTAATAATATTAATAAATTCGTATTTATTTAGATATTTATAATTATTACTGAATAATATTCAGATATGAAATGCGATATAAAAGAGCGATACAGCGATAGTACTTTATGTATGGAATATATTAAGTTACATTATAATTAAATCCGTGAGCACGAGCGTGGCGTCGTAGGTAGCACACAAGACTGCTATGCCAGGAGATCCCGGGTTCGATCCCAGCTAGGTAGATTCAAGGAATTTTCACGCGCTTGTAGCTACCTCTTCGGTGGTCTGGCAAACCACCAAGAGTATTTACTGTCAAGAAAACCTCTCAAAAACTGGTGTTCGGAACCGGCGTTAGATTGTAGGTCCCGTATGTCTCTGTGTACAACCTGCGTGCGCATCACAGGTATATGTACGAGAGGTGACCTTCTCCCGACTTGGGATGTTGCGTCATTGGATTGGATAATTAAATCCGTTAATATATTTACAGTTTTAATTTTTGTTTATAGCAGTCATATTTTTAAAAAATATTTGTCTTCGAAGAATTTCTTACACAATACTTTTGTTATCACAGTAATAAATTTTATTATTTACAATATTAAACTTTCTTTCGGACGTGATAAATTTTCTGTTAATCTTATAAATCAATTCTTATTGCTTTGCTACATTATACTATCATTATATTCTCTAAAATAATTATATTAATCATTAATGAAGTATAAATTATAATTATAGTCGTTATATGAATTAAAAATAATTTTTTTTAAATTAATATAAGAAATAAAAAATAATTTAAAATATAATTATATAATTCAAGTTTTTTTTCTCTAGTGTCTTCTTTTCTTACCAATGGAGAATGTTTTAAACATTTCCCCTTATCTTTGCATACATTTTGTTATAAGGTAGTTGACGTAACAGCACTAACACCGTGTACTAAAACTGTCGGTGGTAAGTCAACAGTTAATTCTGTCAATGATTGTAGGTACTGTCGATACATGTCATCCTCATCCCAAGTGTTTGAGGCTGGCGGGCCAGGCAAATAAATGAATGTTGTTGCAGTTTGAGAAGAATATTGCCGTATCAGTTGATTGACTCTAAGAAATAAAATTAATAAACATTTTTCTCTTTGTAAAAAATTGTAGCTAAAGAATCAGTTATAATGCTTACCCCAGTATATAAGCTCGGGACACGTTACTCAAAGCATTATTAGACTCTGTACTTGATTCATATTGATTTTTTGGCTCAAGCAGAGGCCTACCCTTTAAACCTCGGATTTGCTCTCCCCATTCTGGAATTTTTTTAATTGATGCAGAAATTCTCAGCAAATTCAATGACTTTCGAATCCTGTGCTCATTCGAAATTCTCGGATATTCATTCATTGAATTGGGAGAATCTGAGATACTTAGGCTTTCATTGCCATCCCCAGTTTCGCAATGGAACACTCTGAGATGTAGGTTTTTCCAACTGGGTACCATATTGATGATGCATGCGAGTTGAAGCATGAATAATGACGTTGTATCGAATGGATCTTGATCGGTCGGTTGGAAAAAGTTGACCGGCCATACGTCAATATATTTCAAATTCGAATTTCTAAAAGCAAAAAAATATATATATATTACTGTATAATAATAGATATTATAAATATTTTCGCGATAATAAATTTCTACTCACTTTGTCAACTGTGCTTTATTTAACAGATGAAAGTTTCTACATAGGCATAAATTCTTCTTCATTCTTAAAACATCCGAGCACATACCAACGTATTGAACCGGATCTAGATTCTTTTCACCTGTTGCTTGTCTTAGAGGGAACACAGTGTTATTCGGAAGCGTTGTACTGTTTTCAAACATTGTCGTCGCGTATTGAGAATCCAAGAAGAAGTTGTTCGGCGTTTCTTCATCATAAAACCCGAGAACGATCGTATTTGGTTTCATTGCGCCCATGCCAGACAATCTTATTAAATGTTGCATGCCTTCGCGCACCGTTTTTGTCACAGTCAATTCAATGAAAGCTTTAACTCTCATATGATCAACTAAACTCAACCAGTGCGGATATTCCTCGATCGTAGGATCGTTATTTTGACCATTAAATTTACCAACTTTTACGTGCCCAATAACATAAAGTCCTCCTTTCTTCAAGTCATTCACAAAATCGATAAGAGGACAAGCGGAACGCGGACACGCAACCATCAGTAACATTTGCGGACGCCAAAATTTAACATGATCCTTACGCGAATCCAACATTAACAAGTATTTTCTGACTTGATGGAATATCAATGCTTGAGATATACTGCCCCATGGTGCGTTTTTACTTGGTGAGAATAAATGTAGCACAATGATCAATATTAAGCATAAAATTATGCTACTGGAAGCATAAATACTATTAATTATGAACATCATTATCAGTGTTCCAAGAAGACCTATAGTCGCTGTGTGCCATGTAAAGTAATTAAATGTTGGCCTGAAAGGAAGGTTTAGATTTACTTGTAAGGGACATGTAATATTATATATATATATATATATCGTAATTAAAGTAATTAAATGAATGTTTGAATACCTGAAATTTGGTGCACTAGCAAGTTCCAATCCAAGACACGCAAGATTGGTAGCCAGATAACTTAAAAGAAATAGTACCGAGTTAATTTGAGCAATAGTATTCAACGAGCCGATAAGCAAGATTGTTTGAACCAAAATCCATGAAGTTAATACCGCTGCTATTGGATTGCCGCGCCATGTACCTTGTATAACAAAATTTAATCCCGAACCTAGAAAAGGAATAAAATAGAGATATTTAATTATATATATGGGGCATTCTTTCTCAAATCAGCCACCCGCCTGCGCATTTTATTTTTAAAGATAAAATTTTTTTTGAAGCGTCAAAATTTCCGCCTAAACCTTAATTTTTTGATGCCGTATGCTGTTTTTTATTTCCTTCTTATGGGTGTGACCATACGTTAAAAATAATGCTCAGACTTACCAAAATACTTGAAAAATGCAAAAATAACGTTTAGAGAGCTTTTTTTTAATGATTTAATTAGGATAAAAGATACTCGCGACCTAGATATGTCTTTTAAAAGTTCATGACATCAGCTAAGATCACGTACACCCTCGACTTTAGCTTTACCTGATGTTATTGTCGCGGCTTATTCGTCGCCGGTTGCTGGGATCACGGGGGTACTCGAGGGCCTCGTACGCAACACTGAGCATTATTTTTAACGTATGGTCACACCCATAAGAAAGAAATAAAAAACACCATACGGCATCAAAAAATTGAGGTTTAGGCGGAAATTTTGACGCTTCGAAAAAAATTTTATCTTTAAAAATAAAATGCGCAGGGAGGTGGCTGATTTGAGAAAGAATGCCCCATATATATAAATTAAATTTTAAAATAAAAATAAATTAAATTCTTTATTGTCATTGATTACATACCGAATACATTGTCTTTGGCCAATGCTTCCAATACTCTGCTAGAACCTATCAAATTG